AGAGAATTCTTCTCCTCTCTCTGTTGAAATCAAAGTTTTCTTTTGATTTCGTTTTTTCTCTCAAATTTATATAATCTTGTGTGATTCCATTTGAGTTTGAGTAGCTTGTTCTTGTGTGAGCTGTTGTTTGAGTGAATTGAGATCTTTTGTGATATAAGGGTTGAGTCTGAGTGTCCAAACCTTTTGTAATCTTCACTTTAGTTGTGTTTTGTGTTCGATCGGTGGTTGTTCTTTCACTGGTTGAGGCACTGGACTTGGATTCTAGCTTGAGGGCTTCGATTAATAAGATTCACTTTACTTTCTGTTATTTTCTTGTTCTTTTATATTGCATATTTTGTTGTTTATTTTGAGCTAACTTGGTGAACTTCCTCACAACAGTGGTATCAAAGCGTTTAAAGGAGGTTCTTGATACTGTGTATGGTCGATCTTGACACTGAGACTAATTTTGAGCTGCACTTCGAATTTCTTGAAACCTAATAAGGGGATCTGGTGAGATCTTTCTTTTTTAACGTTTTTATTGTATAACTCAAGTTTTAAATACTCATTTAAGATTATCTACCTCGAATCTATTTTTTGTAAAACTTGATTCTTAGCCTCTTGGTAATTCCTTTGTCCAAAAACCCTGAGAGTTGTTTGAAATCTGAGGGTTACCTTGAATCCAGTCAATGATCTTGATAACCTTGATTTATGAAAATCATTCTGCAGTATTATATAAACTTGATTAATTAGTGTATATAATTTTTTGCCTCTGATACAATTTGTGATTGTATTGTTTTTGGATAAATTGTGTACATTGTGATATAATTCTGAAGTGTCTGCTCTTTGTACTTGCAATCTGTATACTCTGTTGTGTCCATTGAATGGTGATACTTGTTTGATTCTACATTAAAAGTTATTGTTTGTTGTCTGATTGATCTGCATACATCCATTTCATTCATTCTTTTGAAAATGACTTATTCAAAGTTTGAAATTGAAGTTTTTAATGGTAAATGAGACTTTAGTCTTTGGCGCTAGAAAATGAAAGTTCTTTTATTTCAACAAAAATGTGATAAGCCTAGTGATCTTGAATATAGTAAAGTGACTAAACAAGATGAAACTGCATGGAGTACTGATTTCTTGCATTTGTCTGACAATGTGATTAGAGAAATAGGTGAGACTAAGACTACTGCTGAATTGTGGAAGAAATTGGAGAAAACTTATTTGAATAAAGCTATGCCAAATAAAGTATATCTCCTAAAACAGTTTTTTGGTTTTAAACTTGATCCTTCTCTTGACCTTGTGTCTAATATTGATTGATTCAATAGATTGACCCGTGACGTAGCCAACTGTGACGAGAAACTCTCAAGTGGGCAGTTGACTGTGGTCTTATTGAATTTAATTTGTAATAAATATAAAGATGTTAAGAATGCAATTGAATATGGGAGGAGCACTCTATCTACTGAAGTGATCTTTAATGCTTTAAGGTCTAAAGAGTCAGAACTAAAATCTGACAAGAAAGAATCTATTAGTGGGATTAATCTGATGATGAAGTCCAAGTTTAATTCCAAGAATGATAATGTTAATAAGAAACATGGACATAAGAAAAATGACAACTTTAAGGACAAAAATAATATGAAGACAATAGGGAAAAAATGTTTTTATTGTCTAGAAGAATGTCATTTTATTAAAGAGTGTCCTAAAAGGCTTTATACTCTAAAAATAAGTCTAAAAATAATGGTGGGGCTGGTTTAGCTTATAATGACTCTAATATTGATGAAGTTTATGTGACCGTTCCGCATCCCACACATCTTTGGCAGTGTCAAACTGAACAAAGTGAGCCACAAGAGAGTCTATCATAGAATTGATAAGCCAAAACTTAACAATAGCATCATCTTCCACCCATTCACCATAACTGCTATCATTTTCTTTAGGTACAGTTAGCTCACCAAAAATATATGCTCTTTTCTTCCGGCCAGTAATGTGCATCTCCAGCAATTTTGACCACACACGATAGTTAGTGCCATCTAACTTCATGTGTATCAGAGATGATGTCGCATGAATTAACGATGTAACCACTTTGTTATCCGCCATGATTTCAAGAATAGTTTGCTGAAAGACGGGGAGCACGAGAAAAAACACCAAATGCAAACAATACAAATCCAATCTCAACGATGGAACCAGAGGGAGATTACAGAACCAAAGTAACCAAATCTCTTAACAACAAACCATGTAAGTGGCCGAGAAATGATTTGGGAAAAAAAAAACTGACAGACCGTGGAGGACTGCACCTAAACGTGAGATTACAGGCGCGCCGTCAGCGCCGGAGCTGCGCAGTGGCAATGCGAGGTTGCGCCGGCAGTGCCGGAGCTGCGCAGGGGGAGTGCGAGGTTTTCGGTACCGAGTAACGAAAAAAATAGGCTGAAATCGATCCCAAACAGGAGAAACCGTGAGCCTAGGGTTAGCGTCACTGTGTTTTGTGACTATTCGGACACCGAAGAGACGACGCCGGAGCTGGTCGACGCATGGGTAACCGGAGAACGACGATGACGTCGCGGCACCTAGGGTAACCTAGGCTCTGATACCATGTCGTGATATTTGGGAGGAAAAATTAGTTGTATTATTGATATTCTACCAAGGTATATACAAGGATGAAAATCAATTTACATATTAGTCCTTACCAATTACAAAGATGACAAGTTGGTATATATTTTAACTGTTTGTTTGTGGGCATTTCAGATTTTTAAAAAGAAAAAGGTCTTGGAGGTTAAAATGTGAGGTGGCAAAATCCACTTGAACTTGCCTAACTAATGCAGACAGCAGATAATGGTGGAACAACTCTAAAGCAAGTGAGTACTGTTCATGATTTATGGGCAACAATATGTGTACATGAAGCACCTCATGTTGTACAGAGAGTTGTGTTTCTCCAGTGGATGGTAAATTGGTCCACCATTTCCTCAAGGCCCATTCTCCATGAAGATGTCAAGCCCATATGGATGACAAGGCTTTTCACCTTTAATGGATATTATTATTTTTTCTAAAAACAAAATACTTATATATATACAGAGTAAGAGAAGAACTGGTTTTGATCCTATTTAATCAAATACCTCATTTAAAGTGAACCAGCTTTGTTCCAACAACACGAGACATTCGATATGGAAAAATGCATTCAGGTTGATGGCTAGATATTGACGACAATTGTGACATAATTTTTACTACGAAATGAAAAATGCAATGCACCACGACACGTAGTACATTTTTGAAAAAGTTAGACACGAGTTGCATAAAAGATTACTTTTAAATTTTGAAAAGGAACATTTAAACATTAATCGTCTGTTAATATTTGCAATATAAGAGGCTAAGCCTCAACTATGTTAATTTTTAGTTAAAGTTTGCAAATAAGTTAATTCTTAATTGAATTGCAAAAAAGTCCACAATAACGTGTAATTCTTAATTAATGGTCAAAAGGTTCCATTTCGTAGAAAAAAAATTACGAAACTTTTTTAAGACTTCCCGACACGGAAAAATTAGCCCGTCGAAGTTTATTGCAAACTAAATTGTGACATTTCAAATATTATTTTGGACTTACAGTACTAGATTACTTCGAAGGGGACAATCAAATAGTTATGAAGAGCTTACTAATTAGTTTATGACAAAGTGAATTATACCAAAACATAAAGAGTGTACATGACATATAAATTTGATTTTCTCTTGCACTAGAACCTCTAGTAAAGCACGGTTTATTGGATGAGGAGGACAAGGTTACTCCTCAAAAATCGAAGGTATCATCAGGGACGGATCCAGGATTGGATCCAAGATCGGGCTACAAAATTTCAAACCGGGCTAATACGCGAAAAAAAAAANATCGTATAGATAAACCTACTCAATATCCTGTAAGAATAATAATAAAGATCAAATTCATCTCTAACGTAATATAACGTATATTTTTAACAATAAATGTAGGAAATTTTTAGAAAAGAAAATGAAGAATCCCTTAATTTCCTTGAACTTAATGGTTGTCTCAACCTAATGCACGTTAGTAGGTCCCATTCAAACACCCAAATATACTCTTCAAAAATTGACCATCCACATGACAGTGAACCACTCCATGTTATTGATTCCGTTATTATTTTTTGAATTCTCTCTAATAAAAATATGAGGAAACCATGGTTTGGGTATCTTATGTGCAAGAATAATGCTAATCATGATACTATTATATCATGTCCCCAATGACCCCAAAAAATATATATTATTAAGCCACTTACAAGACCAGAAAGGATTGGAAAATAAAGAAACTATATCACTTAATTATTTTAAAATGTCAAATCCACATCGATTATAAGTTAACATTATAGGTTCGATTCTTGCAGGTCGTATCTCTCAGTGTGCTAAGGACTTCCATACCTTATATTCTCTTCATAAATGCAAGATTAGATGTTTGACACGTCTTTCATACAAAATAAACTATCAAACTTCTTGTTTTGAGATACGTCAATATATATAAGTTAATTATATCATGTAAAATAAATTTGAACACATCTACTCCTTAATTAGAAGTTGCAGTATCAATAAAACCGTTTAATGTTTGCGCTCAGGGGCATAGCTCAGTGGTACAAAAGACAGGAGTGAAGTAGTCTCAGTTGAACTGACAGCCGCAGTGTGAATATTCGATTCCTACCTCTTACAAGTTAAGGAATTGGACTATTTGTGAATACCAGTATGACAGCTCTTGTACCAAATCTCACGATTTACCTCCTCCACAATGATGGCTCTAGGCGCGGGGCAGTGGGGGACCCTCAAGATTGGAGTTCAACCTTTTGATAAAACCGTTTAATGTTACAAGATTCTGTCTACCCAATTACTGGCAATATATTAACCACAAACATACACTGATCTACTTTAAATTATCGCATACACTTCTTGAAATTAACTTTGTATATCTAAATATTTACGCACTTTTACCTGACTGACAACTGCACGTGTAACTTTCTTATATATGTATATGCATGTATTTCCTACATTTTTTATGTTCTCCTAGATTGAGAATGAACGGCCTGGATTTTCTGGGCTACCATGATTTCAGAGATGGACCATAATCTTGCAGCTTCTGTTGAGTTGAACCCTAATTTCGAGGTTGAAATTTCATTGCAATCTGAAAAGTATTTTCCACTGATATTTGCAAGTCTTGGATGTATAGCAACGTAACAGGTTGTTGCAGCTGCCTGGAAAAAATACTTTTTTTTATTAATATTAATAAAAAATAAATACGATTTTTTAAGAAACTGAAGTTTAAAATCAAGATTAATTTAGCATAAGGTATCAGTCACGAAGCCCCCTCCATGAATAAAATAAAACAATCTAGATGATTTGGTATGTTGCACTGGACGAGTTAAATAAAGAAATTACCTGAGGAATTGTTTTTAAAAGCTTTGAAGCCAAAAAGAATACCAAATCTGCATATGGATCAAAGTTTTTATTATTAGAAGTTTTATGCATACAAAATTGCACACACTCATAGTCGATGCGAGTTTAGGTGAATTCTGCAAAAAATTAATCACATTTTATAAAGTTTGACCCTTAATTTATCTGTTATCGAGTCGATAATCCGATCAAGTTTTAAAATATTTATAAAAAGCATTGTGCATTTACCTGTGACGAGGCCTTCACGGTCTCTAGTGAGTCTTGTTCTCACAATCCCTGGATGCACACAGTTAACTGTGACGTTGGCTTTCATTTCCTGCAATTGTTGAATGCATATGATAATATGACGAGAAAGCAACAAATTTCACTTTTTTTTGTTGTTAATTATAATCTATTTGTGATAAAAATAATTGAATATTTCACTTGCCTGAAGTCTCTGAGCAAGTTCCTTGGTATGCAAAACGTTGGCAAGCTTCGAGAGAGCATATGCACGTGTACCATCGAAATAATCACTGAGACAATTATTTCTGAATCAAGTCAAACCTCAAAACTATTTTATATTCACTTCTTATTCGTGTATTTTATTATTAATAAAAGAAACAAAAATATTTATAAATAAATTAGATTAAGCATAGTAAATCATGCTTAAGGAAATTAAAAATTAAAATAAATTTCTCTTAATATGCATCCTAGTTCGATTAGAGGTCTTAATACATGCATAATTTATACAATTAAGTAACAAGTGAGACTTTTGTTTGTTTTGATAACACATCAAATACTTAGTCATCTAAAACCTTAAGTCCATGTTTGGTACGGTTAAAACAAATGAGTAATGCTACATTTACATAACCATTCACATAATAGTTCACATAATTACATGTGGCATTTGATCCAACATTTAATTCAAATTTCACACGTACACATCAACAAGTGGGTGATTGCCACGTCAGTATTATGTGAACCATTATGTGAATAGTTATGTACACCTATTGTTATTCTAAAAAAATTGATTAAAATTTAAACCAAAGTTAACAGTTAATTTTAATCACACGTTCGATATGATCCACAACTTTGTAATCACATATTTTATCAGTTTTTATCAAAATATACTAAAAATATAATTTCGTATCTAAACCAAAGCGGGGATTAAATCTAATAGAATATTTGGTAAGTTGGTATTTAACAATAATGAATAGTATTATTGCATAGGAAAAAGAAGTTCAAATACATATAGTCTATATTATAATCCAATATTATCCACTATTGCATACAAAAGTGTATCTATGGCAATAAAGTAGAGTAACAGAAGAAAAAAGAAAATAAAAATTGGTAAAATAAGTAGTACCTTCTGTTCTTATTTATCAACGAAAGATAACTAATGGGATCGCCAGAAAACCAGCTATGAATGCTTGAAGATACATTCACTATTCTTCCTTGAACGCCGCTCTTCTCTGCCGTTCCGATCATATTCTTCAGCAATAGTTTTGTCAACAAAAAATGACCTAATTTACATACGAAACAAATATTATAAAAATAATTAATTAATATGCATGTTTATCCGTATACATATGGTAGGTTAAATTATGCTAAATGTACAATTAATTTGACAGATCATTAGGTGACATGCATTTTGGCCATTGATTCATTTATTCAAATCAAGGGTCAAAATGCACGTCGTATCATCAATTATTAACAAAGATGTCAACAATTTATGTACAATTAGCTTAATTGTAGTAAGTTTATATGAAAGTTCACCTAAATAATTAGTGGCAAAAGTCATCTCGATTCCATCTTCAGATATGGCGTGCCGATGCGAGAATTTTCCGGCGTTGTTTCTGAATTAATCAAACAAAGAAACCATTAAACGTCTCATCTAAAAACTATAATGGATAGATGAGTCATATATTCATTTAAATGTCATCTTTAACAAATTGTCCTTATTTGATAGAAATTAAAAATCTAAATTAATTTGAATCATACATTTTATGGGATCCATAAATTTTCAATCAAACATCTCATAACCTTTAGCAAAATTTATTAAAAAATTGATTTTAATTCCCACTAAACGGGGTTTAGATTATTATTATTATTATTTTTTTTTAATCAAAGGTTTGAAAACCTAAGGATATATGAGTTGCATGCTCATACATACATAGAGAGAGAACTCACATGAGGAGATTGAGAGGCAAATTGAGAGAGCGAAATTGAGCAGCAAATTTCCGTACAGAGAGAAGAGAGCTAAGATCAAGAGACATAACAATAATTTCTGACTCCGGGAACTCCGACAAGATACGAGCCTTAGTATCCTCGGCGGCTTTCATGCTCCGAGCCGGCAACACAAGCCGCGCTCCTCTCTTAGCAAGAACCCTAGCCGTCTCAGCACCGATCCCAGACGTGGCTCCTGTATCACAAAAATTACTGCCAATTTATAAAATAGTTTCTGTTTCACGCTCCTTAAATATAATAATAATAATAATAATAATAATAATAATCAATTTGTTATACCTGTAATAATTGCAGTAATAGAGTGAAGTTCCGGGCAGTGGCTTGTGACTTGCTCGGCAGTGGACTTGGAGCCGAAACCACTTGGACCGGCGGCACCAATCAAGTATTTCACAGTTTCAAGCATTTCTTCAAGAACTTGCCTTGATAAGGCGGGAAAAAAAAATAAGTAGAAGAGAGGAAAAACAAATCTACCTAAAATTAGCAAATCGTGTAGGAGTATTCAGTTAGCTCAGGGAGTGAACTAGAGAGAGAAAGTAGCACAAGTAACTTTTGGCTTTGTCCAGTTTTTGCAGGGAGAGAGGGACCGTGGCTGTATGTATCAACTGGTTGGTGGTCTGGTTAAGAGGTAACGATGGTGGAAGGAAGTGGGATTTTTATAATGGTTAATGGTGGGGATTAGGGAATCAATTAAGATAGGATTACATCTTTGTCATTGATTGATAAATAATTATTTTTTATTTCATTTCATTTTTAATTATTTTACTATTCATCGATGGTTATATCTTAACTAATTAATTCACTTTTTGGTTTACTATAACACGTTTCGTGTTTCAATTAACTTTGATCTAATGTTATCAACCTCGACTTGACGAATTTTGGTAAATTGATCGTGTTAAGTTTATTTTATAAATTACTCGGCAAGTTAAAAATTTTATTAGGTCCCTATTTGGTCTAAATTAAAATTTCAATTTAAAATCAACAATTAATTTTAATCACATTTTATCAATATTTATCAAAATCTATTAAAATCTGAGCTAAATTTCTCGATGGCGGTTAATTAGATTGAGTCAAAACGGTTAATCAAAATTAATATACTTTACTTGAATTAAAACACGAAACTTTTCACCGCGCCATGTGATTCTTTCAGGAAACGTTCTTCAAACATTTCAAATCTCGTCAAGACGAGCAAAGAGGTTTCAAGACACTAGGTTTCACCCTAGTTGAGTTCAAAATAAAAAAATAAATAAATAAACGTATGACGTTGATGTCACCATTATAGCAGTAAATTCCAATTTATATTATGTAAATCTTGGGATAGGGAATCATGTTTTTAATATTGGGGCGGTTATTTTAAATTTAGATAGAAATTAATTAATAAAGGGTAGTAATTTGAAAATGGAATCGCACGTGAGGGTGGAGACGAGTCAATCTTACGGCCTCGCATCTGTCATTTCTTGCCCCGATATACCAAACTTACTGGTCAACCATTCCCCCATTGAACATTTTTTTTAATATATATAAAATTAAATAAAACAAAAATGAATAAAGATTAATTATTTATAAAGATGCTTCCTAGATGTTTATCTTTTATGAGAAAAATATAAATAAAATTAATTATTTATAAAGACGTTTTTTTCTACCTCTTATTTTTCCATGGGAGACAAACAATTTTCTTATTTACATTTAAATTTATGTCTCGTCACTTCTCTCCAAATTCATTTGCTTCGAAAATCTTCCAAGACAAATTTTCTCTCAAAATGAAAATTCTAAAATAAAAATAATCAACATTTTTTTTTACTCCGTAAAATATAAATAAAAATTTTGAATTTTACGAAGCTCGAAAAATGTGTTTGATCATGATAAAGCATGTACTTAGTTGCTTTGCTCGTGCCTCCCGAAGCATAGCTCAGTGATGTAAAGGACAGAAGTGAGGTAGTTTCAGCTAAACTAGCAATCGCAGTGTGAGGGTTCGATTCCTGCCTCTTACAAGGTATGAAATTGGACTCTTTGTGGGCACCAATATGATAACTCTGTACCCTAGCCTGTTGAGACACATTCCGCAATGTACCTCCTCCACGATGCCCTAGGAGCGGGACGGTGGGGGGACCTCAGGGTTGGGGTTCAACCTTTAGTTGCTTTGCTCATAATTAAAGTTGTAATAACTTTCCAATCATGAATCTAAACATTCCAATTTGAATGCATAATTAATGAAATCGTAATCTAGTATACATAGTCGATACATAATTAAAATTGGATTGCCAAAGCATATAATAATTGAGGAAAAAAGAAATAGAAAATATGATTACTTAAAGCACGTTTACCGTTGTCCTTTTGTGGAAGAAAAAAGTGGGTAGGGTCTAATTGTGAGCCAAAAGGCATTTTATAAAGGTGAAGAAGTCACTAAATTTCAGCTTTTTAGAGCACTTCTACATCTCCCGTGCCTTCCTGCGGGGTCCTTCCATCTCTCTCTCTGGATACACATACATGTTCGTTCTCGTGTTTGTGAATGTGCAAGATAAATTCGTGGTTGCGTCAAGACGTTATCGTGTCGGATAAAGCAATGGCTCATGATACGTTAAAAAAGTTAGATCTTAACATAACGTTTGAACCTTCCTAATTTGATGAAGATAGATGGTCGGATAATTGTTTGAATAGAACTAAACTAAGTAATTTGTTCGGGAATTGTTGGGAAAGTATGAGCAAAATCTTACATCAATTAGACATCAATTCTTATTTTCTCAAACTTGTTTTTAACCACACATTTGTATAAGATTTTAAGTGAATTTGCAGATGTTATACACTGTTGTGTGAGTGCAAGGGAGTCGCAATATTTGACTGAGTTAGGAAGAATGACAATTGCGTCTTTTAACTCTCATTTCATGCTTTATTAGAAAATGGCACTTTGATAAAAATTTTAAAATGAGTCGATGATTATTGCAAAAAAACAGACACACACAATAATACAACTGTCAAATTTTGGATTCAAATCACGACAAAATCCATCCCAGACAGACGTTAAATATTCTGCACGTAAATTAAAAAAAAATCTACTTTTTAACCACGGCTCACATTCTTTAAAAAAAACATTATTCTAAAATTCATTTTCCCTCAAAAAACTCATTTGAATGGTAAATGCTGTTGAGTTTATAATAAAATTAGACTACCTTTTTTTTTTTTAACAAGTATCCTCTCCAAATCTCTCTCTCTTTTATATCTTTTGACTTTTTTTAAGGTATTTTCAAATTTTTTATAGTTAACACTTCTTGTGGTTGTATATTAGTACCTTATATGTGTATACAAACATATTATTTATAGTTGTTCCTATTATGTTAATTGTAAATGTGTTCTTGTTACATGTTCGGTACTTAATATTAGATTATACTGAATGTCAAATAATGAAATATATTTTATTTTATTTACTTTTTAAATATTATCTAATAATATTCTTTTGGGCATATAAAACATATCAAAAGTGACGGGTGACAAATAGTTTTTCATTACAAGCTATAATCAATTTGGGGGAGAGAGGAAAGGCAAAAGTGTAAAAATGTGGAGAGCGAATTCGAGAATATCATAGGTGAAAAAGAAGAGGAAGTATTTTGTGACAATTAAATAAAGAATATTTCCCCATGGCTATATTTTCCATGTTGTACACAAAATACCTTGCATATGCTACTATTTATATGCAAGGTTAATGTAACATAGCAAAAGCTATATAGTTAGAGATATAGCTCTTATTTGATTTCCATTTTCTAATATTCATTTTATTTCAAACCTATTTTTAACAACACATTTCATGAGTCTCACAAATTTTATCAATTTTTATTAAAAATCTGAACTTCATGGAGATAGTATTTTCAAACTTATTAATGTTTGCAATTTGCATGCTTTTCAAAACCCAATGTAGAACTTTAGGTGCATGAATTTTGTATTGGCACAGCACACGGGGAACATTTTGACTTCAACTTATTCAAACTTTCGAATTGCTCGATGCACACTAGGTGAGATCCTTAATCTTGGCACTTCTAGATTATAATTTCTTGATTGAGCATATTTTAACTATTTTCCCCGACCCCACCCCACCTAATCCTTTCAAAACTATTCCAACTTTTTAGATGAGCGGAGCTAAGATTTGTAGCTCAAGGAGATGTAGGGAATTGTGAAAAGGTTTATCAATTCTAAAACAAACTATATCAAACCCTAATCACATGCATATACAAAACCTCAATGTTGAAATCAAATAAAGATAAAAGCAAAAGCATACCTTGAACCATATGTGTCCGATTGCTTGAACGGATTATAATCTTCCAATTGATACGTAGTCTCCTTCAGAATATTCTCACTGATGATGGGAATGCAGAGATCTGAAAAGCCACGTCCAATTAGGAACCATAACCCACGAAATAATAACCGAATATGCAGTTATTATCTTTCANATGAGAATGAAAAAAATAATGTGGATCAAAACCTCAATGTTGAAATCAAAGAGAAGATAAAAGCGGAAGCATACCTTAAACCATATGTGTCTGATTGCTTGAACGGATTATAATCTTCCAATTGATACGTAGTCTCCTTCTGAATTTTTTCTCTGTTGATAGGGATACAGAGATCTGAAAAGTCACGTACAATGGGGAACCATAACCTATGAAATAATAACTGAATATGCAGTTATTATCTTTCAATTATTCCAAATTGGCCCCTCATCGATCAAGAACAACTATTCTGGTTTCTATACTTTATTTCCATGACATTTAATACCCATTAGCCCAAAATTAACTTTACTGAATCACTTTATTGACTAAACTTTAAGATGACACCACACATTTTAATATATATACATGTGTGGCCCCATATGATGGAATTTTTCCTACAATCTCCCACTAGACCATACATGTAATTTTACAAATGTGCACAAGCTTATAAGCTCAAAATTATGTTATCATTATTATGGATATTTCTAAACAATCTCGCCCATCAGTTATATTGATATAGGATTAAAATGATCTTCGTCACATTTAGCGTGACTAAATCTATCAATGGTCACATATACCCATACAACCAAATGACATAGATCAAGCATGGGAGTGCAGCATGAAAATTACATGTTATGTGATCCAAACATGTCTATTTTCAACTTGTTCAATTTTATTTCTTAAGTGAGATCAATACTGAAACTTTAATCATAATGAAAACTGAATTGAATACTTTATTTCTGAAATAAACTGAATATCCATAGATAAAAATGTGTCTAAAATAAACAACATTCAAATACAAACTCCCACTAAACTGGCATATGATCAAATAATTTTAAACAACTTTATCCAGTCAAGTTTAAACCTACTTTCATTACCTCGAGTTAATTAACATAAATTATTTATACCCCGATTGGCTCCCATTATTTTAAATTTTAATGGTTGGAATAGTATTATTATTATTTTTTTTTTTTTTTGAAAATTATGTTGTTAAAAAAGAAGAAGAAATTTTGGGATTACGTTTAATATTATTTTATTCAAAATGTGTAATTAATAAGAAGAGAGATAAAAATGAATTATAATTTTAATGGGGGACAAGCATGGGTATTTGTATAACCTTTGCAGCAAGTATAGCAATTGAACATGTTTGGCTTAAGATTAATTGGATTTGAGCAGATGATTTTAGCCTCTTTCTAAACTGAAGGATGAGACTTTACTCTTCTTTTGGACACAAATAAGTAAATTAATTGTTTTAATAACTTTTAAAATAAGTAATTTTTTTCCTAAAAATAAAAAAAGGGCATTTCATTAAGACATAACAAATAAGTGAATTAATTGTCTTAATAACTTTTAAAATAAGTAATTTTTTTCATAAAAAAAAAAAAGGGCATTTCATTAAGACATTGGAGGTGCTCTTACCGCTTTGCATATTTGCATACTAGTTATCATAACGTTTTTAAAAATAAAAAGTTACTTTCTTTGTTTAAGCTTAGCCAAACATGTGCATGTCTAGTGACTTTCTCTCCAATTCGATTATTTTGTTAGCCACCCTAATTGACTAATTAGATACATTGAAAAGAACAAATCACATATAACTATAAATATATACTTTTGTGCAACTTATAATCACTTTCCACTAATCATTTCTTAATCAAAATTGATTAAATAAAATAAAAAATGGAGTCATTATATAGTATATACTACCATTCATCAATGATTTCCACTATTTATATGGGACCCTAGAATCTTTGGAGGGACCCTTGCCTAAAATTAGGGCTTGATTTTTTCAATCTTGTAATCTTAAATATCTTCAATTAATAATAGACTAATCATCTTTCCACCTCCTTAATTAATTTCATTAATTAAACGACACTTGTTAATGACTTTAATCTAAGATTGTCCACTTCAAGTTATAACATTTGTAATTGACAAAAAGTAAAGACATATATAATAGATTGAGAGCAACTTAGTCCCTGTTCGATTTTATTAAAAGTTATGTAGGTTCATGAAATATGTGATTAAAAATGAGTTTATGAAATGAAAAAAAAAACGTTTTGAAAAAATGGAGACCAAAGAGTGGCTAAATTAAGTGGAGATACGTAAATAAAGGGAAAATTGCAGCGCTCATCCCCAACTTATAGACTTTGTAGCAATTTGGTCACCAACCAATTTCCTTCGACAGCATGATTTCAACCGCCTGGGGTAGGATTAGTTCTTAGCGATAGATTCCATCTATTTTACCATCAAGACTTCAACTCCTCGTTCTTTAATTCTAAGAGGAAAAAAAAAGTTTTTTTAGATGGAAATCAATCCACAATAAGTGCTAAATTCGTCAAAAACACAATGCTACCATCAATTTCAAATAAGCAAAAATAAATAAAAGCATAAAAATAAGAAGAAATATGTGAGTATCATTGATACTATAACACCAGTTTAGATGGCACGACATGATACACTCAATGAAAGATACATTTCATTATCCTTTAATTGTACATTTCATTTAGGCTCTGTCCGTGAGCAATTTTTTGGGCCAAAACATTGATTTTTCAATCCGACCAGATCAGCCAATTTCAATCCGATTGTCTAGTCTAACACGACCTATCTATTATTACAGCCAAACGTATGAACCAGATTGGATTGATGTTATTGGCCGGTCTCGTCCCTGTCCTAACCGATTGGACATCACTAATAAATAAAAACATGTATATTTTCATGCTAATCTCCCAACACAAGATGTGTTTCATTAAAGGGATATGTGAGTGACCTACCACCAACACATCCATCTTGCTATATAAAAACTATTTAATTCAAAATCACGTATTGGCTGATAAATTTGCGTTTGTAGATTAAATAAATATTTAATAAATACCTAACTCCACTTATTTTGGGACTTTGGAGCTTAGTTAAGTGATCATTCATTTCGAATCACTTTTGCATAATCTAGAATTTACGTCATCATCTTCGTACAACTCAATAATTACCTTAAAAAACTCATGTTTACGATCTTGAGTTTGTATGTGCCCAACATGGAAATCACATGTAAGCATGTTTGGCTAAACGTAAAAGCAAATAAGTAGCTTATTTTTATGAAACTTACGTAATTTTTCATAAGTAAATTTTTATGCTTAGCCAGCAATGGGTTATAAATATTAAAGTTTGTAGAAGACGTGACAATAACAAAATTAAATCAAGCGAATCTGCTGTCAAGAATCAACCTTCCCTTTGTACCTGAATCCGATCCTGGACTGAAGCTTTAATTTTCAGATTACAATCATATAAAAATGTCTTCACGCAACTTTCTAGCAAGTGCACAAAAAGATTAAGAATCCATATATTTTGCTGTCTACACATGCAATAGTATTGGACTCCAGTATTACATGGAAATCTGTTTTTCCATTGCTTATGGACAATCTAGCTCCAGGTCTTGAGGCCATCCGAATTCCTCCAAGAATGCTAATACAACACCATTCGACCAGCCAAATCCCGTCTGTACAGACATGTAAAGAAGCCGATGAAATAAAGAGCAATGATTTAAGTCTAGACGTGAAAATAACATGCAATCTGAAACTAAAGTTCTAATCCTACTCTCAGAAGCAAAAATAATCAGAAGCACAACCAGAAAACAAGCAAAGCACAGATGTTTATCAAGATTCACTCTCAATATGAGACATACATCAACTTGCTGTTGTAGGTTTTCATTATAAAATGGAGAAGAAGAATACAAATTGTTCCTCACACCTCTCTTGCACACACTAAAATGGCCCCCTAAAAGCTTTTATTATGTATATTGGACTCGCAGTTTAGGGATAAGTACACATTATAATTAGGCTCCTTATAGTCCAACAAAATCATTTGTTCAATCAAGTAAAATCATCACTTGATTATTTCAATTGCGCAGAAAGTTCTACCTCTCCACAAGCTAGTTTGAAATAGTTATAAAGTATAAAAAGGATCATTACGTCTAAAAAGATAAACTTAGCTTACTTGGGGTACATATTCACCGCCACCTCCAAAATCTCCACATTTTTCAACATTGTATTTTTCATGCATATTTCCCGTTTTCTTGTAAGCCACATAGTTTGTTCTGATCCACTTCACAGCAATATCTGCTGCTATAGACCTCGCTTGTTCAGATCTCGACCTTACCAGGCCTTCAACGATCATGTGTTGAAGCGGTGCCCAACCATTAGGAAAGTCCCTGATTGAAATACATCAAGATCACATACTACAAAAACGAAACGAAAACAAGGCATTATTCAATAACATTATCATCCTCATATTTTGTAAGACGTATCCCCGTACCAGTATTCAAAATTCGGATTCTTTTTAATCGTATCCCCATATCTTTATTTTTAAAATGAGAAGAATCCGACTCCTAAATATGCAACCCGTATCCGATACTGGCCCCCGAGTCCCAGCAAGTTAGGATAAAGGGTCGAGCAACTTATTACCATTGTTGTCCTGAATTTGTCAAAGAAGTTGCAATCCCTGCAGGGCAGAGCAGGCCAGAATTTTGGAGACTTCGGAGGACTTCATCTACCACCTTGACGTCTTCATATATAAATAAAACGTAAGCATGTCATTGTAGTTCATCAGTAGGTGACATTTTTCTTATATATGGAGTATCTAAATATCACTTCTAAAAGAAATAATTCATAAAGTTATGCTTTCAAAGGGAATCAAAATCTGAAATAAGAGGCAACTGGCAAGAAGTTTAGTACAAAACAATTATCAAATGGTGTTATTTCCACTATATGGTGAACACAAGGTTACTAGTCCATGAAGGCTAATTGTCATGTGAAAAATTTATTCAGCTTGCATGCATATAAGACTGACTTAAATAAATAAATATATACTGCCTCTCAGCTTAAGTTTATAGTACAGATTCAAATTTCAAGTCTCTCCGCCATTCATTTATAATAATTGTGCAGTGCAACTATCCGGCCTTTGATAAATGTTAATCCAGTTTGCAAGTGAAGTGGTGCGCTGAAGACTAAATTTAAATAAATAAATATGTCTTACAAACAACTTGAGCTTTTAGATGGGGTGATTTACAGCATGCTACTATCAAAATGCTATTTGAAAAGAATCACCATCTCAACTTATGCCCACAAAGCTTCTATATTCATGAAAGACAGTATTTAGCAAATTACACGAGAGAGTGAATATTAGAAACCTGAATTGAACAGCTGGATCCACAAAGGAACGAAGTTTGATGCAAATAATTTCTGATTCTGACTTGAGGCATTCCATGTGTAAGCATCCTATAATCCCGAAATGAAGATGAAAAGGGCAGGAAATCAATATCAGTGTTCTTCGGGTAGGAGGATGTTCAAAGTTTAGTACATGATACCACCTTGGAAGCATCAAAATTACTCAACCAGTAATCGAGCCACTGTCCCATCTCTGCATTCCAGAAAATAGAATTCATGGCCTTCTTTCTAGTTTCAGAAGCTTCCATAAAGCGTGCAGCTATTTTATTATCACCAATAACATGTGCCAAAGAGGTTATGTCAAGTTCCATCTGAATCAAGAATACAATAGCTTATGTCACACATGAAGAATACAAGTGAAGTAACTAATCAACATTCAAGGGAGATATTCTGTATCTTACCTTCAGAATGAATGCATTCAAATCAACAGGTACAATCGATGTTGTAGCTAATGATGCAAGATCAGATCCGTTCCTGAAAAGTATGCAAACCATCAAATATTGAATAGATGACAGCTAGACTTGGCAGCTGGCCACGAAGAAAACCAGCTCTATAGTGGTGTCAGAATGAGCCGAGCCACATAGGCAGTACAGCTCAGCCCAATAACTGCCAGGTCATGGATTGGCCCTGCTTTGTACGTTGGCCACTTCAGGATGGACAAACTATAAATTATTATATGATAGTAAGGAAACCCATGCTACCTCATCCATCTAGTACTGAAATCCCATCCAGATTCGGCTGTTGATGCCAATTCACGATATAGCTTCGTTTTCTCACAGGTATTTGATAATTTGGAAGCTATTTCACTGTCCTGCAAGGTTAGTAATTGCTTTAAGATAACTCCAAACAAATTCACAATCCACAAAAATATCATTCCGCAACAATTACTCAGCAAGATTAGTAAAAAAGTTCTTACAATAGTTGATGACTCCGGCCTTGGTTTGTTCCACATTGCATAGTATCGATTTAAAGTATGTCGTGAGCCTTCCGCATCCTGAACGATCACCTTATGTATCCCTTCAACAATAAAAAAAAAGAAAACCAAAATGGATAAATACTTTATTTGACCCCACACTCATGTGCTGGCATATGTTGAGTGAGTCAAAAAGAGCCTGAAAGAAAGGGGTGCCCAAAAATTAAAATTCAAGTTTAGATTATGATTAGAGCATCTCTAACAGACTTTTTATTTATAAAAAGCATCTTATGTATAATAGAGAACATTTTTAAATTTAGAGAATAATTTGTTTTATACACTTCAACAGGCTCTCTATTTTGATTCTTTATTTTATTTTTTCCAATGAACATTTATTGATTTCTTCTCATATCATATTTAACATAATTTGTTTATATGTTAATGGTTAATCAATTCAAATGTGATTTGAATTATTTAAACTATAGAATATTGAAATTTGAACCTTATTAAATACAATTATTGTCAATTAAGAATAGACGTTGAGTCCAGCTTTCTAAATTTGGAGAGTAAAACCCACTTTTTATTTTAAAAAGTTAAACTAGAGAGTCCCTTAGAATTTAATTTTAAGCATTGACTCTAAAATAGATAGTATCTTGTGTTTAAAGAATCTCTTGGAGATGCTCTTACGAGAGATGGATAAAACACTGTGGCATGTTTGGTAAGTACTGGATAAATGGTGTTCAAGTAGAAAAAGCTACAGTACGTCTAGTTTTACGTACCAAACATGCACTAAAAGTCAAAATGTCTTCAGGGAGATACAACAAAAAGCAAAGGCATAATTTATCAAAACCTGAATTCCAAAATTCATGCTCCTTTAGCAATGCAGGAAGAGCTTTTTCAATCAAGTTCGTATCGCCTGTTTGATCGTATATATCTATAACCATTGAACTCAGGAAAGGTGGCTGGCTGCAATTTTCACTTAAAACTTTGAGTTCAACTTCAAAGCATATAGGCAAATGAAGCATCAGGGAAGATGATAATTAACACTTGACAAGTCAGACTCTACTCAAACGGAAAAAAAGGATTAAGCAATTATAAGTAATCATGAATTTGTTAATTAGTGGTTTCAATAAATCAAAGATTTCATCTTGTTCACAGTTGAAAGTACAATTGAATACGCGTTAGAAAGATCAATCCCTCCCCTAAGACACCAAAAAAACCAGGCCGAGCTTCTAACCGTCCGCTTTCATATAACAATATCATGGCAAAGTAGACCTAAGTGGTCACATTGGATCCTTGGGAACATCACAAGTATGGCGGGCCTATATTTGAACAAAAATGCCGTGGCATCCAGCGGAGCCTCAAAGAAGGTGACTCGCATAGACAGCTGACTACTTTTCAATAGAAAAGAATAGCCAAACCAACCCATGTAGCTAGTCAATCTTAGAGATCCTATCGGTCAGCAAACCGGAGACAGACGACCGTGGTCCAACTTTCGCAATGAAGCGTGAAGAATTTGCAGCTCAGCATTTGATGAATGGCTGTTCAGAATTTTATCATAGTAGACATAGTGTCGACACTGACATTTGAAAGATCAAGTTCAATGAGCAATTTGTTCACTTGTTTAGCATGTCATACTAAGAGTACATCATGCATTTTACTGATTGTTCAGATTGTATAAAAAGACGAGGCATGTTAACTGGAACAAGAAAAACAGAAGAATTAGAAGCTCAATAACACACAAAGTTATGCTGTTAGTACAAACAATATAGTGAACGAGATTTTAACATATTATTCTTCACTTTTCACTCTTCTAGGCAGCTTAAATATGGGTCTACGGTTGTAAACAAGACTAGGTTATAGGAAAGGTAAAGTAAACAAGCCGCAGCTGTACTGAGGGAACTGAACTAGTCAATTAAAACTATCCACTCCTAGAAAACTGGTCTGATAAGGAATGCTGGACACAATAATAGTTAGAGGCTTAACATAGAAATATCAAAAAATATTCACCTCCTGTTTGTGTAATATGCCCTTGCACCATTGAGAACATAGCCAAATTCCTCTATAAGAGATAAAAGATTATATACAATCCCTTTTGCAGTTTCATACATTTTACTCACTAACAAGCCCCTGCATAAAAAAAGTATCATCCTTAAAATGAACTCGACAAAGGAAATAGAGAAAAAGGGGAACTAAAAATAGAATACAGTAAATTAATTGTAACATACAATAGAAATTTTACCTAATTGGTCGAACTATTCTCACATATACCATCTTGTGATTTCAATTTTTAGTTAACCAAATTTGGCGCATCAAGATTGGACTTAAATTGTCCATTTCCGACTCATGTAGGAGTTATTAAAGGAGTTTTGTAGCTCCTATATCAATTGGGTAAGAGAATTGTCCATTTGGCAAATCAAGATTGGACTTAAATTGTCCATTTCCGACTCATGTAGGAGTTATTAAATGAGATTTGTAGCTCCTATATCAATCGGGTAAAAGAATAAGCTCTGTTTAGTAAATATAAACTGAGGATCATATGCGAGGGGAGGGGAGGGCAAACTTTGATTTCTTGATAAAAACGTCCACATTTTAGTTTATTTGTACCTAAATTAGCATTTTAGTTTCATTTAAACCCAAAAAATCAACCACGTCTATTCATTAACAAATACAAGAAACTGAGTCTTTTTCTCAGTAAACTTAGAGTCGACTACATGTATCTTTTATACCACGCTACTCCGTTCGTTCATTACTAGATCTACTGGAAGATCAACAACCGTCCACCTAGTTCATCAATGAACCAAAATAACTACTTTTAATTCTTTCATAAGTCACATATATTAAATTCTAGAGATCTAGTTTCACAATGTCTACTCCATCCCCCTTATATTCCCACCTATTCTTCTTCGCCAAAACAAGACCAAGAAACAACTTACCAAAATAACACAAGAAAGAAGAAGATAGAAAACCAACCTTATTACCCAATAAGAATCCCAGTAATAAACCTCCCGGAATCGCGACCCGGGAATCATAACCGGGTACTTCAAAGGTAGCAATGTATGAAAACCGGGTCTCTCCTGAACCCGGCAAGAAACTTTCCTACTTAAATTCTTCCAAAGTGAATGGACCTCCAATGCCCAAGCCCTTACCTCAGGATTCTTCACTTTACGCAAGAACCCCTCAGGCTCAGCCACAAAATCCACTGGTTCAGCATAGACCAAATCCTCCCCAACCCCCTTCAAATACTTCTCAATAAACCCGTTTAAATTATGACCCGAAACCGAACCATTTTCAGTTCTTGGAAGCTTCTCAAAAGCTACAATAGTAGTCGAAAGATTCTGTTCCAGCGACAAATCTACGTAAAGTTTCGGGTCGAATCCTTTGTGCCCATAAGCTTTGAGTGCAGCATTTTGAAGAGTTTCAAGAAAACTGATTAATGGGGCTGTGGGTACGACAGGACCTGTGTCCGTTGAGTTACATGGGACTGAGTTATGTGCTGTTACGCTATTATTACTCATGATGGTTGATCCCGGTTCAACGGATGAACAGCAAAATAAGGAGGAATATGCTATTATAATCAGGAAAAATGGATTTTGGGCCATAACTGAAAGTAGATTTTTGCCATGGTGAACTGTTCGTGTTTGTACATGTGTGGGAAGATGAAATCCAGGCCGGCCGCCGGCGTTGGAATTAATTGAACCTTCAGCGATGGTGCGTCACTATGTACGGTTGTCGTTTGTGCTTTGATCCTCTGCTTTGTTAAGGTTCGGACTAGACTATGACGAAATAGGGTAGTGCACTGGATTAATTATAAAGCCCCTGTTTTGTACATATTAAGCCCGGTTTGACACCCCTTTTTGACAAAAAATAAATTTTAGAATAGTGATTGATGAAAGAATGTGTGGTTAAAAAGTAATGAGAATTTTTGAATTTATGTATAGTATTATTTTATTGATAGAATGTGTGGTTGAAATGAAGAAAGAAAAAAAAATGAAAATGAAAAAAAATGAGTGTCAAACAGGGGCTAAATTTTTCTTTCTCATTCTTGTACTTATTTTCAACCACATATTCTTTAATAAAATCATATTTTCTATCATATCAATAATTTTTCTTTCTTTTTCAACCACAAATTCTCCATCAATCTACTATTCCAGAATACATTCTTCCAAAATAATGTGGCTAAAAAATGTTCGCCAAACTTATTATCGAGGAATGAATGTATTTTAAATAGTGATTTGATGGAATATATGTGGTCAAAAAATAAGGAAAAGTTATTGATTTAAAATATTATTTTATTAAAAAATGTGTGGTTGAAAATAAATTTTGAAAAAATTGTATTTTTAGAGAAGGGTAATTGACGCAAAACATCCCTACCTTTGCATGGTTGTGTGCAAAACATTCCTACCTTTCGTTTTTTGGCACAGAACGTCCTTACCTTTCACATTTTTGGTGCAGAACGTCCTTTTCGCCTCTTTTTGACCATTTTACCCTTTTATTAAAATAAAACAAACACAAAAAAAAAAAATAATAAAAATAAAGAATGAATTATAATTAGGGATAATTGCAGTAGAGGTCCCAAATCTTTTCATTTTTTGCGCACTTTACTCTAACAATTAAAATAATAATTAAATTAAAAAAAAAAACCCCCACCTACCTTCTTCTTCCCCACCCCCACCTTCATCTTCTTCGGACTTGATCGTTAGACAATTGTCGGGATACATCCCACTGATTCATCATTTCCCTCAATCATTTTCGGCTAATCATCTTCTCCACCCCCACCTTCATCGTCCTCTCGAAAAAACATCGGGAAGAAGCGGAAAAACATCTAGGCAAAATCGTTGCTCCAATCTGAAATCCAACCCCACTTTCCACCATGTCGACGTTGCAATCCCCACCACCACACCACAACCACCACCATCAACACCACAAACAACCCACAACCCTACTGCAAGCTCCAGCACACTGTGAAGATGATGAACCCAAAATTAACGAATTTGGAAAGTTTTAAAATCAGCGAACACCCTTCTTCAATGTAATAGCCAGAAAAATTAAGAAGCCAATGACTGTGGGGAGCTAATGAGAGTGCAGATGCGGGTTTCGGTATCTGAATTGAGCCGGCAACGATGGCAGCAGTCCGTAATTTTGTTTGGTTTTTCTTTGCTGTTGAAAATTTTTGGGGTTTGCTGGATTGCTGGATTTGCTGCCGATACTTGGATTTATGGGTTGCTAGATTTGTAGCCGGTGCCTAGATTGCTGGATTTAGGATTTTCAGAATTGCCATTGATAACTAAGAAAGGCTTGAGAGTTGATTTTGTTTGGTTTTTCTTTGTTGTCGAAATTTTTTGAAATTGCACAGATAGGAGTTAAAACTGCACAGATCAATCATGGAACCAAACCCAGAGATTGAGAGTTGCCGTAGTGATTGTTCTTGAGGTGGTGGTGGTCGTCGCCGTTGGACCTCCGTTGGCACACATTAAAGATTAGGGTAAAGTGCACAAAAAATGAAAAAGTTTGGGACCTCTACTGCAATTCATTCTTTATTTTTCGTTTCTTTTGTATTTGTTTTATTTTAATAGAAGGGTAAAATGGTCAAAAAAGAGACGAAAAGGACGTTTTGCACCAAAAATGTGAAAGGTATGGACGTTTTGCGCCAAAAAACTAAAGATAGGGACGTTTTGCACACAACCATGCAAAGGTAGGGACGTTTTGAGCCAATTACCCTTTAGAGAATGTGTGTCAAGTATGGGCTAAGTGTTACTGCTTTATAAAAAAACTTAAAATTATATTTATATAGTAATTGAACAATGCACCATGTTATCCATCAATTACCCAAGTGAGAAAAATTTTTAAGTTCAACAAACAGCATCAACTTGAATGATGGATGGATAACTCGGAGTATAGCGACCATTGAAATACATTTTAAAGTTCAGTTATTAAATAAAAGCACTTGACATAGTTCAGTGACAGTTGAGATATATTATTAAAGTTCGATTATTACGTGATAACAATTTCTTCTTCTCTCAAATTGACATCCGTGAAAGAAGAAACTAAAGAAATAAGAAACTCAAATCGACATCGGTTATATTAATACTAATTCGAACATTTTTGTACTTTTATTTAATTTTCTTTGTCAATTTATTTCAGTATTCCTACTGCATCTCTTTCGGGCTTTTTATGTGAAATTTAAGATATGGCGATTGACATCAATCGATCTGAAAATCCAACATATTTTTTCACCATGTGCAAAGAGATCACAACAACAACAAAAAAACCAAAAATAGTAACAAGAAATTATCAATGAACTGAATAATCTGATAATTTAAGGGAATGAAACAGTAGTTACCGATGAATGGGATATACTAATCGGGGATTTAATGACTTTCGAATCATTTTTTTTGTTTCTTCTTTCACATAACTCGATTTAAGGGACCTAATAATTGAATTTAAAAATGTATATCAATGTTATTGAGTTATGCCAAGTGCTATTACTTAATAACTGAACATAAAAATGTATCTCAATGGTCATTGAACTATTCGTTGTACTATTCATCCATCACTCAAAGCGTGGTTAAAAACTAAAAGTAAGTGAAAATTTTGAATTTACCTGCAAAATATTTTATTGTAAGAATGCGTGATTGAAAATAAGTTTGAAAAAAAATAGTTTTATAAAAGTGGTTGTCAAACAAGTTCTAGATTTAAAAGGTTTGTGTGTGAATATGTAGATCTTTTAAGATTCTTTAAAAAGTATCGATGTATTTAATAGAAACTATTAAAAATTGTATTGGATTAAAACTTTTTTAAAGTTTCTACACATTATGGGGCTTCATAAGAGTTAATTGTTTCAACGGTCACTGAACTGTACAAAGTGTCACGTTTCACTAACTAAACTATAAGTTGCATCACATCACTAACTGAAATTAGTAAAGTTGCACTCCATCCATCACCAGGTTAATTCCGTTAAAATTTGTTGCCTACGTAGATGACGGTTTGCACACGTGGCCGTTAAATTAATCCAACTAGCCATTAATAAGCCATGTCATAAATTCTCAACNGTCACTGAACTTTACAAATTGTCACGTTTCACTAACTGAACTTTAAATTGCATCCCATCACTCACTGAACTTAGTAAAGTTGCACTCCATCCATCACCGGGCTAATTCCGTCAAAATCGATTACCTACGTGGATGACGGTTTGCATACCTGGTTGTTAAATTACTGCAGCTGGCCATTAATCAGCCATGTCACAAATTCCTAACACCCAAATACGTCTCACCCAATTCGATCTCATGCCTAAAGACGGCCAAGGCACGGTTAGTGCATATGTGATTGTCGATTTCGATGGCCAACGGAGACGTACCAAGACCATTTTTTAGGATCTCAACTCTCAATGGGACGAGAAACTCAAATTCATGGTCCATGATGTCGAATCCATTATGTCGGCTCCAACTCCACCTGTGACGGATGCGGCGGCTGAGAAGGCTGATTTCAGATATCAAATTGGGTGAGACGTGTTTGGGTGGTGGGAATTTATGACATGGCTGATTAATGGCTAGCTGGAGTAATTTAACGGCCACATGTGCAAACCGTCATCCACGTAGGCAATCGATTTTAACGGAATTAGCCCGGTGATGGATTTAGTGCAACTTTACTAAGTTCGGTGAATGATGGGATGCAACTTAAAGTTCAGTGACCATTGAAACAATTAACTCGATCAGTTGGATTAATTTAACTGCCACGTGTGCAAACAGTCATCCACGTAGACAACCGATTTTGACGGAATTAGCCCGGTGATAGATGGAGTGCAACTTTATTAAGTTCAGTGAGTGATGAGATGCAACTTAAAGTTCAATTAGTAAAATGTGATATTTTGTAAAGTTCAGTGACCGTTGAAACAACTAACCCGGCTTCATAATATTAATGACTTTTTAAAGTTTTTATAAAAATATCTAGGATAGTGAATTTTTAAGCTGGAAAGTAATAAAATAAAATCTCATAATTTGTCACTTATTCGCCCTATGTTTTTTTTTTTACAAAAATAAAAATCTTTTGATATATATTTTTGTCATAAAAAATATATTATTTTTACTTTTACCGATTATATTTATTATATTCTCTCTCTCTCTCTACCTATCTCTCTCTCTCTCTCTTATTGTCTCTCTTCATTTTCTGTGAAAAAAATTATATTGTAATTAAGAAATTCTTAAAACATTTTTTTCTTTTTTCTTTTTATCCATTTTTTATGCAAAAGATCATTTGGTAACTAAATTTTGTAAGATTTTATATAAAAAGAGACTAATTTGTAAATAGATTTTCATATATTGATTGGTTACTTATTTTTTAAACGTTTGACTTACTGATAATATTGAATATTAAATATTTATTTATTTATTTTATTTAAAAAAATATTGAAATTTTATATATACTTTATATTTTGATTATTTAATTATCAAATTAAGGTGACTTAATTTTTTTTATTTCTTTAAAATTATTTTCATTACACGGGGAGGGGGAAAGAGAT